TAGTAGAGACATCCCAACAGACCCCCCATGGATACCAGTGGGCAAATAAAAAGGGGAAAGTTATTGTTCTACGTAATTGAATATGAGATTATGATTATGTTTGTGTTATTACCTTTACAAGTCCGTTTTTGAAAATCTCACTACGGTAAGTATGCAATAAATAGTTTTATTAATGATAAATGAATTTACTTAAATTAAGAGATCCATTAGTTATTTTTATTACCTTTATCAACATTCATTTCTTTATTGGTGAGTAGTGTGATATTCTTACTATACTAGTGTACTCACCCTTCATTAATCATTTCAGACCAAGATGACCAAAATTCAAATCTTAATCAACAAAGAAGTTGTGAATAGTTTCACCATCCGGATTTCCTTCAGAGGCTAGTGAAGGTTGTTTTAGGACACATAATCGCTTACTTTTCATTTATTTCTTGATTTTTCGTAATTTCTTTTAGATGGGTCATTTACGTAGTTCTATTGGATATTTTAAATTATTGTATAAGGAATGTAAACCCTAACTCTATTATTTCGTTTTCGCATTTAATTTATAATTTTATTTTCTTTTAAATTCTGGGTTGTCATATCATATCTACTCTAATAGTCAAAAAAATTAATTGTTATTAATTTTTTAGTTAAAGCAATATTTAATTTCTACAATTGTTTAGGAAATTTATTTCCTTACATCGTCTATGATTTTACTCTATAAATATATTTTCAATTTTTAATTGTAATCATTCAAGTTTAAATAAATAAAATTATAAAGGTTATTTCAACTAATAAGATGTCTTCATCCTTCTTGTTGAGTAAAGAGTTTGATCAATTTATTAAGGTATCCCTTGTGGTACTTTTTCTATTTCTATTCTTTTAATTTTTCAATAATCATAGTTCTTATCATTCTATTGATAAGGGAGTAAATAGGAAAGGTTTTTATAAGATTTAAGTTGTTGATCCTGTATTCTACATCATATTGGCTAATTTATTAGAACTATACAAGAACTCTGAAAAATAATATTATTAATTAGAACTAAGTGTATGAATCCTAAGAGAGGAAAGATAGAGAGAATGAGCAAGAGGCACACAACAATTTATATTTTCATATTCACAGTCTGCTACTGTGAAAACATATCCCTTACAACATGGAAACTAATTTGGATGTTTTTTTTTTTGCTAGGATATTAACTACATTTGAATTTTCTAAAGAAAACCATGATTAATTATATAGTTTTTATACTAATTGTATTTTCGCAGGCATGACGTGTAAAGCCAGATGTAAATTCTTTGTACTGCATGATTAGCAATTATTAATATTATACTTGCATAAACTAGAAGCTCGTATTACGTTTTCAATGCTCTATTAAGGCAATGGATTAGTCTCACGAGATTGAGCGATGAAATTGCTTGGCTTATTTTTACAGTTCTATGGATGTGCTTTATGTCGTGGATCTGCTTGTGTTCTAGTTCAGGAATTTTTCTGCACTCTATTATATATATATATATATATATATATATATATATTCCTGTCAAAAAGATCAACATCTAGCGAAATAATATATGGTGTATATTCTGCTCTGTCTGTACCACGGTAGACAACATTATTGTTTAAACTTGTTAAACTGTTCTATACGGAAAAAGAGGTATCTGTATAAATAGCATTCATATAAATAGCATACAGATGCAATGTTGTTTAGTTGATCAATTCTTTTGTAACTAAAGGAGTAGTCTTTTATCCCTCCTTCAGAATGAAACCAGAAGAAGTTCTTTTATATTTTTCTTCTGCTTACACTTCTGTTTCTTCCAAAGTTTACCTCTGTTCAGTTATATATATAAATTCATAGGCATCAATACATATGAACATTAACGAGGTGTACATATCATCATTTATTTAAGACATGAAATCTTTAAGTAGTTACAAAGATGAAACTCCAAACAAGGGGAAATTGACATCATTAGGAAAATGATTACACCACACATGCAAATACAAGCTATAATTTATTTGACATGGATTATTATAATAATTTAAAGAACATAAACACACAAAGTTCCCTCAGATCACAAACAGCATGCTACATATATGTGTATATATATATATATATATATATATATTATGCTTGCTCGGTCAGGTGAGCATCAATGTCCTTGGACAAGTCCAGAACAAGAGCAAGCAATGTTTCTGGATGTGCAACTTTGTCACTTATCTTCTCGTATTCCAGAAGCCAGTGAACTATGCTGCCTTCACCATTTTGTTTTGGGGTAACTTGGATATTAAAAGAGAAGCTCTTGTACTCCTTCAGCAGATCTCCTTCAATCAACTTGAATCTAATAAAGTTTTTTTCAGAATCTATGGCTTCAATGACCTCCTTTGCAATACATTTCTTCCCATCTGTAACATTAACACAAAAAACAAATAAATTAATATACATTTTTCTCAGAAAAAAAAAAATAGAAAAAACTCATTAGTAGAAAAGAGTAAGTAGCAGGAAAAAAAACCATATAACTGCACCCAAGAACATAACTAAAAAGAAGCAATAAAAAAAGGTAGTTAATTAACAGGAAGATAAGATATCATGGATGCTTTTTGCACAAATAAACAAGATAACTTTGCAAGGAAACTGGCGACTAAAAGACAGAGAAGGTCAAACTAGCGTATGTATATAATATAATATAATATTATAATATTTACATATGTGTTCTAAGCATGTAGCGTACCATGAACATAATCCCAGCAAATAATACTGCCGACTGTGCCCCAATCACCTTCATGTAAATCACAGCTGTTAACTATGCCGGGACTGGCGCTGGAACAATGGTGTGGCTTATGAGTGAATATCTCATGAAACTTTTCAGCTGAAGCCTTAATCTCTAAATGAGCTTCTAGCTTACCCTGCAAACTCATTGTTGATATCTTCTAGCAACAGACTAAGAAACTGAGTTTTGATGCTCATCCATTTCACATCCATTTATAGTTGCCACAAAGGTAAGTCATAGTTCCAACACTTATTTTTGCTTTTTTAATAATTAGTTATTTTTTAACCTCAGCTCTCATTTCAGCATTAGATACATGAATTTCAACAACAATTTTTTAACTGAAGAACTTGTTATGTTTTTTTCCACTAACAAAATTTTTAAATTGGAATTATTATTTGAAATTATTTTTATTATATTATGATTAATATTTGTATATTACCTAATCTATAAATATATATATATATTTATTACTAAAAAAAATTATAGTTAATTTCACTATTAATTATCAATATTTTTAAAAAAAGTACAAGTACTAATTACCTCAAACTATTATATACTTTTAATATCTCATATTGATAAATAATGTTTAACTTCAATTCCACTTTTAATATCTTATTTTTAGATAAATGTTAAGTTCTTGTTTGAGTTGTGGCAAGGAGTTAGTGCATGTAAATATTTGTAGTCTTATCTTAAACAACAACAAATAACGTATTCTATTTTTTTATGATCATACGAGACTGATGTGAATATAAGTCAAATTTCTTCAGTTCAAATAGGAAGTTAAAAATAAGAGTGTAAAGCATTTAAAGGTTCTGAGGAGTGATTTAAGGTGTAAGTATATTATGCAAATACTATAATTCCCGATGCAGTATGTTCTGTTCTGCATATTTTATAATTTCATTAGGTTCAATAGATCCAAAGGACACCAGAAGATTACGTGAAAGCGAAAAACAAAGTAATCAAGAGGATATGATCTTCAGATGTAAGGGTAAGGCAATACATGATGGTAATGTTAAAGGAGTCATGATTTTAATTTTCAATAGTTAATATAAGAGACTTAAGAAGGAATTTATGTATGTATATATATTGTATATATATATATATATATATATATATATACACATACACACACCTGAGTGCAGACGTACAGAGTATTAATTGTATGTATTAATTGTAGTCCTTATGGCGAGGGGTTTACACCTCACTTTCAAGTACGATATCATTTTTTAATATTTAAACAACTTAAATATAATAAATTTATTTTTTGACTAATTAAAAATAGATTAAATCATTATCAATTATATTTAATTATTTATCTAAATCATATCTTACATTTAAAATTTATTTTAAAAATAAAAATAAAATATCTGCAAAAGTTACTTTTATATACGTATAATGTAGTAAAATTTTCTTTATGTGGTGGTGCCTTGAAATTTTGAAAGCCAAAGAGAAATTATTGCTTTAAAATA